CTGCAAGCCGGCTGCAGCGTCCGGGGCGCGGCGCGCCCCCCGCCCACGACTTCGGTTTCACGGCTCCTCCTTTCCCGTGCACCATCTTTTCATCCCAAGCTGCGAACCCCACTCTTTGATTCGATAAAAGAAGAGTTTAAAACTGGTGTGTTTTTAACCTCTCGTTTTCAATCTAACCTCTTCTAAGTTCGGTATCAAAAAACTACACCTTAATTTTGATGCACCCTCACCTGAATCATGTCGGGCGACCGCGCATGAGGCTTTGAATGTCCTCTGGTGAGTCGCTCCGTTTTCCCCATTTCTCCTCCAGCCTCACCTGCGTCACACGCTCGTCCACACTCACCCCCAGACCGGGTGCACACGGGAAGCGCGGCCGCTGCCTCACCCCGTGCACGCGGACACGACGTTCCCTCATCGCACGGAAATGCTGTCGTGTTTACACGCTCCCCTACCTCAGTCCACCTGTGTCACCCCAGTTAACTCCTCCAGGTGGCCGGCTAGTATTTCACGGTCAGATGTGCGTATTTCGTTCAGCCACCTGCCTGCGAAGAGGCATTAGCTTTATTCCAGTTTTTTCCATGCCCCAAAGTGCCAGTTAAAATCATTCTAAGTTAATGTGTGTAATGATACTGGCACTTCTATTATTATTTTTCCCCCAGTATTTACCAGGAGCGAAGACAACAGCTCAAAGGATATTTTTTTTTTTCTTTTTTAATTTAACGTATCTGGTGGATTGATTTTAAGAGGTTTTGCCACCGCGGTGTCCAGGGGCACCCGTACAGGCCCTCTCCCCACTGCTGTCTGTGTTGGGATGTCTGCGCTTGCGAGTCTGTGGGTTGGTTGCGTCTTCTTGTTCGTTGGATTGTATTTGCCCCTACCTATTACCAACTTAAACATTTCTTCATGTAACTGCTGGCGTTTTAGACTTAATCTTTTTCTGAAAAGTGTCTTCATTTCATCCATTTTTTTCTATTGGAATTTTGTTGCCTTTTCAGTTTGTAGAAGTGCTTCATACATATCTTCGTCATTTGGGTTACAGTTTTTTTCCTACATGTATTATTTATCTGTTTGATTTTATTTTCCACATATTATGAAAATTTTAATTTTTATGTAAAAATATGTCTGTCATCTATTTTTAATAGGTTTTATATTTTTTAGTTATGGTTAAGGTCTTGCCACATCCTATACAAGATTGCATTTATGATCTCCTAGATTTTCTTGCAGTATTTTTATTTTTGCAATTACTGGACACTTATTCTTCATATACTTTAGAATCACTTTATCAATTCTCGTCTTCCTCCAATATGCAATTTTAGTTAAAATAAAATGTATTTATATTCATAGTATGATTTTTGGATATTAATCACAATAATATTACATGTATAAATTAATTAATCTGGTATTTGCATGCTAATCTTCCCATTTTATATTTTCCATTCGTCAAGATGTTATTTTATGTGTTTCCTAAGATTTCATAGTTTGTATGCCTTTCTCATTAAGTTTATTTGTAAATACTTTGTAATTTCGGTTTACCATGGTAAATGAAATATACTTTCCCATTTCTATTTTAGTGTGCTTATTTTTATAGTTGAGAAAGTCTTAATTTGCATATATTTTGTTTTATATCTAGTCACCTACACAAAATCTCTTATTCCTTGTCGGTTTTTAAAAAGAGATTCTCTTGAGATATTCGTACCCTCTTCTCTACTCTCTACCCTACCAGTGTTTATTTCTATATTCTTTTTTTTGACGATTTTTTTTTTTAAACACCTACAGCACCTGGTCTTCCTAGGTGGTCTCTCACCTAAGTACTAACCAGACCCGACCCTGCTTAGCTTCTGAGATCAACGAAATCGGGCACGTTCAGAGTGGCATGGCCGTAGACTTATTTCTGTATTCTTATATTCATGAACTTCTTAGGCTAGTGGCCTTCTTGTGGTGAACATCTGTGCGTAGGACCTCATAGAGCCTGGCAAGGGCGTGTGGGCACAGGGGTGTGGGCCCGGGTGACCTAAGACACTCTAGCTCCAGACATGTTCCTCTTCCGGCTCCTCCAAGTGAAAACATGACATGCAGACTATCTTCTTTGTCTTTGATCTTTTTACCATAGCTTTTTCTTTTTTGTACTTGAATAAGAAAAGTGAACCTCAAATCATCCTGAATCATGCTATGCTGCATTGTCCCCCAAAACGTGAGAACAGTGATCCAATTTGAAATATGGATGTTGAAGTAGTTAGTAAATAATTCTGACAAGTAGATCAGGTGATTTCTATTATATATTATTATCGTATATATTAATTATTTTAAAAATCACAAGCTATCACCAAAACAAGAAGTTATAATAGTAATATTTTAGTATTTTATAAATAATACTTTGTTGTTGTTGTTTTGATGATACATAACTATGTGACTTTATTCACTCCTATCTCAGAAGGAACATAAAATAATTGTTACATGGACGTGGTTCCATAGTGTAGCGGTGAGCACGTCTGCTTTACACGCAGAAGGTCCTGGGTTCACGCCCCAGTGGAGCCACGGTCCATGGTCTACGGCCATGCCACCCTGAACAATCCCGATGTCTGATCTCGGAAGCTAAGCAGGGTCGGGCCTGGTTAGTACTTGAATGGGAGACTAGCTAGGAAGACCAGGTGCTGTAGGCATAAATAATAATTAAAAAATAAATTAATAAAAAAATGATAATTGTTACATTGCTGTAAAATATCTCCTAATCCTCCTTAGTTTTTTTTAAATAAGAACCAGCTTTTTTATTCTTAAGAAAGAATACAAAAATAGAATCTGATGTTGAACCAATGTCATTCCAGAAATAAGAAATAGCCATCCTGTGTACATCAACTAATTTTAAAAGTCTCATCTATATACTGAAATGCATTTCAAATCAAATTTTACTTTTATGTGTAGTAAGTTAACACATTTATAATATATTTAAGATTTCGATCAGTTGTATACAAATAATGATTACTGTGATAACTTTATCTACAAGAAATTATTTAATAGAGCCTTTGCGTGCATATTTTATTGTAGAAACTGTTAAATAGAAAATATAATAATATGTTAGTATAAAAATCTTTGGGACAAATGGAATGGAAATAGGATTTGAAGGTTAAAAACGAATATTACTTAATATCTGACTACTGAATAAAAGCTTGTTAATTTTTTTAATGAATGATGGTGGGTTCAGATCACTAAGCTATTTAGGTTCTTTTATCCAAAAAAGAGATTATTTAACTTAAGTAATTGGCAATGAAATATGCTAAAAAGTATACCCTTTTAAGCTTGTGTTGAACGTTTTTAGGTGTTAATTTAAAAGTATACAAGTGAGGACATGCTGTTTAAGAATTATTTTAGGATTAAGTGAGCAGGGGTGCTTGAAAGTCGCCGGCTTGGGGGTTCGAGCTTTTTTATTCTGGTGTTTTGTAATCACTGCTGGAGAAGGTGCGTGCGCTCCATGGGTGAGAACTGCGAGGCTGTTCATTGTAGTTTATGTGGTTCTGGCCTCACAGAAATCAGATGTTTACCATCTGCTTTAAATTTAGGGTATTTTCTGCATTTATTCAGACATTCCTTCTTGATTTAAAGCACGATAAAATAATGATATTTCTATCAATTATAGTGACTTAAAAATATTTGCTTAGTAAGAGCAAGATTGGACATTCTTGGGCATTTTATATTCTATAAACTAATAAATTTTCTAAATGTTCCCCCCACTTTTTTTTTTTTTTGCAGGTAACAGAAACGAGCATAAGCTTTATCCTGAACTTTCCAGTTATCGTGAGAGAGCTGGTAAATAAAAATTTCTAAATGTTATAAAAGACTCGCATCTACCTCATAACCACAAACTCTGTAATTAAGCTGGCAGGTCGTGAGACTCTCTGGGGAAGCATCAGGCCCCCGTCCTTGAGCCACAGGATGTGAGCCGAAGCTTTTGAGGAGCTTCGTTTAAAAATGCTCTGCTTCTGTCCCCTCACTTGCTTTTATGTGAGGTAACGAGAGTGATGTGGAAACCAAAACAGATACGGTCAGTACCTGGTGCCTGACAAATAGAAATGTCTCTCAAAAGGCACTGTGGGAAGATGCTGAATGACGAGAATCAGGACCTTCAGAGGCTCCGGGGCCAGAGGCTGGTCCAGCGGCAGCACCGGTTCCCGGCGCGTGGTCCGAGCGCAGCGTCCCCTGCCCGTGGCTGGCCGGCTGGGTTTTGTTTTTATATTTGAGGGTCAGATGAGTTAAGTTGTACAAACAGTAGGGAATAGGTTAATAGTAATATTAATTTATTTTAGTTCTTTCTCCAAAGATAAGGGATTTTGAAGGGAAAAAATTTTTAAGTCTGTTTCTAAATTAAAACTTACATTACTGTGTTTTTTAAAAAGCAGCTGTGAGACCAGTTAAGCCCTTCCCCAGGGCTCCCTTACCGAGCGCCCTCGGGGGTCGAGGTCGTGGCACACGGGACTTGCCGTCCGCCCTCTGGCCAGTTCCCAAGCTGGCCCAGGCCCGCCCCAGGCTGCATGACGATAATTCTCCAGATCGCGTGCGCTTTCGACTTGCAGCCCGTGGGAGCGCCAGCTACACAGGGCCTGGGCCTCTCGGCGAGACGGGGCTCGCCTGTCCCCAGCCGGTGGACTGGCAGCTTTGTAACTGAACGTCGGTGCCCCCCCTGCGCCAGTGCCCCCCACCCCCACCCCGTGACTGCCAGCGGCGGTCTGGACGCTCCGGGACTACGCCCGCTCCCTGCCCGCAGCACCCCTCCCCCGTCGGGGCACTCGCCATGGACACTCACACTCCTACAGAGGACATGGTCCCTGAGGCTGTCGGCCCCATGTGTGGCCTGGGGGTCATGAGTGCCAGCATCGAGTCAGCCGCCCAGTCATCACTGAAGGTGACCGAGTGTCAGCCCGTGTGTGCGGCTGCCTCGTCGGAGCGGGAGGGGAGAGGGTCAGTGCCCACCACAGGCCCAGCCGCCGGTCTTGTCTGCTGCACGTGGTGACCGTCTGCGTGGCCAGCGCGCGTGTGGCAGCTGGCACAGCGGTGCCACCGGGACGCCCTGACACTCCTGTCACTTGCGTCTTCCTGTTACACACAGGGCGGGGCCGGGGGGCTCGCTGGCGGCTTTCGTTGTCTGGCTTTGGGTCATCTGATGGCGCTTCATGAGAAAATAACATTCAGAATGATCTTTTCTTTGACATGGACTCACATTCCTCCGACCTGGTGACATGAGGCGTGACACAAGGACTGGCCCGGGCCACGGCTCCTCTCACACAGGGACGGCCACTGATGCGGGCCAGAGGTCATGTGACTGGTTTCGATGATGTCCAGACTGTATCACAATTTTTTTTGTGACATTCTTTTAATCTTATTCCTTCAAATCAGCAGACTAAAAGTAAATATAGTGTAAAATATAAAAATATGCAGAACTTTTTGTTATAGAAAAACTAATCATACCAGTAATATCTCCAATGTCACATACTAGTTATTATAAAGGTTATTTCTTCATAGAAAGCATTGCAGCACCATCTTGTGTGGCTACAAATTCAATGTTTCGGTCAATGTCGTTTAATTAAAGTGTTAACTATTTCTACTTCTTACTGACAGGCAACTTCAGTTTATTTTTTATTATTATAATAGTATAGGTTCCAATAAGTAGCTGGTTTTAGAATTCAGTTGTTTATGTTTTCAGTGTATGTGTACTTAGAATAATTTATGCACAAGGTTATATGAAGCAGCAGTTTCGAGTTCCATGTAGCTGAGCACACAGAAAGTATGTTTATATTTTTATGATGCTCTACAGTTTGTAACATTTAATGCCTTTTACTCATGTTGACCACTCAAGTCACAAAGTGTTTTCTCCCATTATAGTACATTAAATTCTACACTCGTGTTGAAATTTTCGTTAAACACCTGTAGACATGCTTCTTGATGTGCTAATTTGAATATCATCTGTTTTGAGAGAAATAACCAATAAAGCACAGAAAGGGACACAGCCATGAAGCCTGAAGGAGGAGAAATATCTGCTGAGGACGCAGCATAACACAGAAATCGAACCTTATATGATACGATCATGAGCTGCACTTGATGGAGCAATCACGACTCTGTCAGAAGAAGAAAAACATAAATGATGTCGTACAGATTGTTCAAAGTTCAAACAATTACAAACACAAATATTTGCTAAATACATTGCTAAGAATATAATATTATGCAGTTTGATTTCTGTGGTTCTAGTAAATGTTATTATCAAACATTTGCTCTTTTCAAAGAAAAACAAGTTTAATAACATGGAAATCACAGACCATCTGCTGTGGGTTCTACTGGCCTGGGAGGCCTCACGATACCCTGATCTGTTAATTTATATCTCACCTGCAACACTCCCAGTTTTTCCTATTAAAAAATGTGAATAATGTAAGTGTTGTTTTCTTGTTTCAGGCAATTTGAGTCAACCCATAGAAGTGACAGCTCTATATTCTTTTGAAGGACAGCAGCCGGGGGATTTGAGTTTTCAAGTTGGAGACAGAATCACAGTCACATCAAAGACAGACTCGCACTTCGACTGGTGGGAAGGGGAGCTTCGAGGTCACACAGGCATTTTTCCAGCCAACTATGTTACCATGAATTAAACTTTATGTTCTTTTCTTTGAGAATTATAAAAAAAGTTATTTCTACACTGACAGGATTTGCTATCCAGTTAAGCAAAGTTTAATATAAATTTAAAAATACCGTTTATTCCATTTGTAAAAGGTTTTGTTTTCTGCATATAAATGGCCAACTTACATGTCTTTAAATACTTTGTACTGATTTTATCACACGCACTATTAAATAGTTAAGATCCTCAATTTACGTGGTCACAGTTCTGTGTTCATTGTCAAACATCACTAAACATTTGATTTGGCGAAGCATATGGTAACTGTTTAATTTGAGAATCTTAAGGGTAGGGCATAAATTCCAGTTCATATATTTCTATCTGCAAAGTGACTAGAGAAAAAGAAATCAGCTTAGATAAAGTAGTAATACTTATAGAGTTGTAGATATTCACTAGAATGTGACTCCTTAAAATTATCTTTATACCTTCAAACACTACAGATAGACATTTATCGTAGAAACACCTTGGAGAAGCTCAATCAACCGTGATGCGCTAAAAAGGGGGCCCCCATTAGCCCCTCGCTGTGCTCATTGCTACCAGTAGAATCGACTTCTAGTTTTGTTGTCCCCAAATAAATGTGTTTTTTTTTTTTAAATGTTAAGTTAATGTCTTGATTTTTTTCTTGTTTTCTTTTTGTAAAGCGATCATAGGCCCCGTTTCTGATCTGCCTTCCTGGGGCTGCTCATACTCGAAGTTTTCATTGGCATGTTGCATTTCAGTATAAGGGTTTCGATTATCATATTATTAAGTAAATTTGGCAGGGATTATAAATACGTAAAATGACAATTTTGTATCTAAAGGTCTTTACGAACTAGAGCAAAAGGCAAACCGGACATGATATACTTCGACTGGGGGGAATGCGAGCACGTTCTCCCCTCCAGCCCATTCTCCAAATGGATTAAGTACAAGTGGCGAAGGGGTAGTTTAAAAAAGCAAACATGGAGATTTAAGAATTTCCAGACTCTTAACTCACAGTCAATCTTCAGTAAAATATCTATTTTAGGCCAAGGAAAGGAAAAAAAAATATTGTGTTGGCTGGAATTAACAAAAAGGCAAAGTAATACAAAACTTGGCAAATTTTCTCCAAAAAGCAATGAAAAAGCTTGACAAAGTTGTGAAAAACAACCATCTCTGAACGGCGAAAATTAACCAAGGCACATAGCAAGGTGAGGAGCATTTATTCAGGAAAACTAAACCTCGGTACCACCCCCCGCCCCAGTGTCGCCGCGGCCTCGTCCACGCGCCGGGGACCCTCGGGAAAGCCCTGGACCGTGAATTAAAATTCACTCTCAGCGAGGACTGTGGTGTCGCGTCCCGGAGGGAAGGTCACGTGACAGCGGCCACCAGCCTCGCGTCCGAGGGCAGCGTGGGGACCGGTCCCGAGGAGGGCGGGCGGCCGGACACTCCC